GGTATAAGAGAGGAAGATATTGGTCAAAGTCAGCAATTTAGTGTGTTTCCATTTATCCTTTAGGGTTAATTCCAAGTATCAATAATGTGAAATACCAAATATTGGGGTCTCCTTGGGATCACAGCAATGCAAGTTTCAGCATGCTATTAAGGTGTAACAGAATTTGGAGCTGAGTTTGGGGAAATATGAAAGGAAGGAACAAGATATTAAGAAGGGGCTTGGAGAAGAGATTACACAATCCACAAGTTGAAGCAAGCATGTCAGAGAAACACAAAAAAATCCAGCCTTGATTTTGTTTACTGTAAGATTGGATTGACAGAAACTTGGACAATAATAGAGCTTCAAAGTTCTATTATTATACTCGACAATAATGAAGAAGCTTTCCTTCACTGTGTATTTATTAAACTGAATTTGCTAAAATGAATTGGAAAGGACGTTGGAGGTCTTCTAGTCTAATCTCCTGCTGAGGCAGGAAGTCCTAAAGCCCTGGTAGTGAACCTATGGCACGCGTGCTGGAAGTGGCACACAGAACCATTACTGCTGGCACACGAGCACTTGCCCAGAAAAGGTGTATATGCGCATGCATTGCACGCCCGAGAGCTGATTGTCAGGTATCTGGCTTGCATGCGTGGGGGCACGCAGGAGACACTCATGCATGCGCAGAAATGTGGCATGTGCGGGGGATTGCACGTGCATGCGCAGGAGGCATGGAAGGTTGTTCACATTGCCTTCGGGTGATGGCATGTGAGCACAAGTAGGCAAGCATGCATGCAATTATCGGCACGGGAGCCCAAAGAGGTTAGCCACCACTGCCCTGTATCATTTCAGACAAATGGTTGTCCAATCTTTTCTTAAAAAATTCCACGATTGGAGCATTCACAACTTTTGGAGGCAAATCCTTCCACTGATTAATTGTTGTAACTGTCAGGAATTTTCTCCTTAGTTCTAAGTTGCTTCTCTCCTTGATCCATCCATTGCTTCTTGTCCTGCCTTCAGGTGCTTTAGAGAATAGGTTGACTCTTCCTTTGTGGTAACCTCTTCACTATTGGAACACTGCCATCATGCAACCACAGTCCTTTTCATTAAACTAGTCATACCCAATTCCAGCAACTGTTCTTTATTTGTTTTTTATAAACCGTTCTTTATATGTAATCATCTTTGTTGCTCTTACTACTTGAAACTCCCATCCTCTTCTTTTCAGTCTATCAGATCCTTATTATTATTACTACTGATTAGTTTCCATTTGGACTTTCTAAAATATACAACTACCATTTTGACCATCTCAGATGGTGATTACTCTCTGATGGTGAAGTCAATACAGGAACAGCTGTATACTACTGCTAGTTCCAGGAAGACCAAAAAAATATATATATTCTGTTCATTTAGTTTCATGTGCTTTTATATTGCTTCAATAGTAAAATTAGAAAATTGCATTTTTCTAGGTAAAATGCAATTTTCTAGGTAAAATGTTGGATAGCACACATTTTAATAATATCCAAATAAAATGTGGACCCTAAACTCACTAAGTGAAATATACAAGGCAGCTGACTCCAAAATACAAGCAGAGTGTGATATTTTAAAACAAGAACTCATGGATGTTGATTGTTAAGCTTATGAAGCTTTGTTATTAGGTCTCTAGAACAATAAAAAAAAACAAAATTTATATAGATTATTACATTGAAATCAGAATAATCTTAAAGGGGAAAATGATTTGTTAATTTATATTTTGTTAAGTCACATTTTCTTCCAAATATGAAAAAAAATAATTGTAATTTGGTTCTGGTTTATATGAACTAGATTACTTTTTAATTTGTTTAACTTTCTAGGCTGCTTCAAATTGGATAATAAATAGAAAAAGTCTTATTCAAATTATACTTCATTCTGTATAATAGTTGCATTATTTTGGAAAGAGAGAGACTTGGTGAGTTGAGCATAAGCCTTTCAAGTTTTGCCAGAAATGATGAAAACAAAATAGTAGGAGATTTTAAAAAACAGGCTTTGCTTACATAGCAGACTGTAATCTGCTTGAATTGGAATCAGCAGGACTATGGACAGCTTTAGTATTGGCAAGTCGCTTCAGTGCTTGGAACTCAATTAAATCCTGCTGCTTGCTTAACCACCTACCACATTTATTGAAGAATCATTTCACTAAATGGACTAATTCAGATCTCAAAACAAATGATATTCAGTGAATGTTTTATTCAAGGAATGTCACCTTCAACCTTCATACTCACATGTGCCAAGATAGCTTTACTGTAATACTTTTCACACATCCCTTGTCTAATTGCCGTTAAGGAAATGAAAAGGTGAAGTCTTAGTGCTTTCTGAGTTTGGTTGTCAGATGTTTCATTATTTGACTAGGTAACATCAGTGCTAGTGAGTGAGAAGTTTGCCTCCTGTTTATATTCAGTGATTTGCCATGCCAATGTTGGTTTTCTCCTTGGTATTTCCTTGAGTATTGTTTTCAGCTAGATTGTTTGTCTGGTGTTAATCCCTATTTATCTGGGTGTTGGCTGCTGAAGAGGATGTGTCCTGATCTTTCTGAGTCCTTCTTAATTTTTTAAATGTCTCTTTTGAGACAATTAAAATGTGGTTTATCTCCACATGTCTATTGATGATTGATCTGAATAAATGCCAGATTTCAAGAATTCCTTGGTGTTTTGGATTGATCTTGATCTTGGATGCTCAGTTTCCCAGTCAAAACTATGCTTGAATCTTTTTCTGTGTTGGGAGATTAACCAATTTTACCATATTTTTGGACTGCTAGTTGGTGTCCATGGATGCACTCTGCCCTACCTAGTGGCTGTTATAATCTTTAATTTTGTTATATGTTATAGATGACTCCTGTTTTTCCTTCTTGACTATTGGATCTTTTGGTTTACTTGAGATGCTCTGGAATACTTTAGTTGATTTGTGTGCTATGGTAATGCTGTGTACAATAGTTTGTTAGATGTTTCTGAAATGTTAATGATGTATAGTGTTATCCTTTTCATAGCTTGTTTGATTGTGCTGTAATGGGTTAGAATAGAATTCTTTATTGGCCAAGTGTGATTGGGCACACAAGGAATTTGACTTGGTGCAAATGCTCTCAGTTAAGAGTTAGCCACTTTTTATTAAACTTGTGTGGATATCCATTTTGTTGGAATATATTGTATAAGTGGTCTGTTTCCTTTTATAGAAATTCCGAGCTGATAAATCTTAGGTCCCAACCTTTCTGACTTTGTAGATCAGCATGGAGGGGGGGGGGGGCGTTCCATGCAAGTGGTAGGCAATCAGGTGTGTGTGCATGAATGTGTAGCTCCATTGACACGACTGGCAGGCACACGCTCACAGAAATGGAACTTTGCGTGTGCAGTTGCCTGCTGCTCACGTAAGCTGAGCTGTGTTCATGCACTCGCCTACTGCTTCTGTGGCCCAGATAATAGTGGTCATGGCCATAGAGTTGGGGACCTCTGCCATGAAGATAAATCACATTTATACACCATTCAAAAGAGTCAATAAAAAATCTAAATAAATAAAAAGATTAGAGGACATCACCAGCCAAATAAAGCAGGTATTAAGACCAGACAAATAATCAAGGAAAAATAATACTCTAATCAAGGTACTGCCAAGAAGAAAAACACACCCCTACCAACATAGGCAGGACAAGCACGGAATATAAGAAGGCAGCTGAGCAAACCCTACACTCAATAGTATTGATGAAGATACCTAGCAAAGTTAATAAAATATCAGAAAGCAAATAGTGAAGCTTAGAAAACGCCAAACATTGTAATTTTGCCTTTCCCTATTTGATGCTCCTCATATTCCTGGGACTGGCTGGATAGTCTCAGAATTTCATTCCTTTTGGACAGCATCAACTGAACAAGGCTGCTTGCAATTGCTTTAACTATAGTATTGCATAAAGTATTTTTGGAGAGCCAGTTAGGCCTTGTAGTTAAGACACCACGCTAGAAACCAGGAGCTTGTGAATTCTAATCCCACTTTAAGCACGAAAGCCATCTGGGTGACTTCAGGCCAGTCACATTTCTCTCAGCCCTCAATGTCAGGGCTTGGCAACAAGCCAGTCATTTTATCTCTATAACAATCCCCCCACCTCTATCTTTATCTCTGTATTTATTTATATCTATCTATCTATCTATCTATCTATCTATCTATCTATCTATCTAT